AAAATGTCAATTCTAAAGACAGCAGCAGAAAAGTGGGGTTTGTGAGTGCTGGGGTGGAGTCCCAGACTGATGGAGGGATGAAACCAGTTGCCACCGAAGAAGACATTGGTCTGCCGAGAGAAAGTGATTCTGAAGATGAAGAAAGAGTTGAAATTGCACAGAAAGATGTTCCTACTGCTGTATTTGGAGGTCTTGTCAGGAAGAGAGACGATGGTGACAGAGATGCGGATGATGATACTGTACCAGCCAAAGATAGGGGAAGTGAGAGTCGTCTAGGAGCCCTTGAGAGAATAAAGAGGCAGAAAAAAACTTGATTTTAGTTACTAACCTTGTCTAATTTTGATTGCTGATATCTTCTGTTCATTTACGATGCATGTACCCTTTAAGCATTTCTGACATGCATTAAACTAGTGCCTGCCTGAATATACCGAGATTATGAGTAATTCCAATTCTTGTGATTATTGCCCCTGCAGCCAAAGTGCTGAACTTGGCCCTTGTTTTTCTTCAGCTCCTACGTCTACTTATGAAAAATAACCAGTTATTTTGTACTTGCTCCTGGAAACATCACAATCCGTACTCATTGAAGATAATTTTTTCTGGTGAAGTAAATGCATTAATTCCAATTTGGTGCAATTTTCACGTTCTCTAACTATTTTTATACAATAAGAGATGATGAAAGAACGATAAAGACAAATTTTGCTGGAAGAGCCAAGTAGAAATTCTACTACTTAAAGAAATGGATACAATGCTAAAATCTCGTCCCCAGCTTCGATAGAAGCTTCCCAATACACCCTATCTCACAACGCTCTTTTGTACTCAATAGCAAATTGCATCCATTATTGCAATCAAAATTCAAGACAGCATTAGCAAGTTTAACTTGGCCTTCCACATTTCATGTCTGTTGGTTAGCAACTAATTTGACAGAATATGGCACTTGATCGCCTTAAATATTTATGCATCTTCCACTTTGCATTGATTGATCTTGGATGAAATTTCTTCACTTCGGACACTTGCCATGTCATCGCTGGGCCGCTAGCAAAAATGACACTGCTGGTGTTGGCTGAATTATCAGGAGAGATGCGACCTATGTTGGAAAGTGGGTTCAAATCTCTTCATCACCATTTCAAGACAAAAAACATATTAAGCAAACCACGTTTGCCGCCACTGGGTCTCCAATACTATACCATTGATCTCCATGGTTAGCTACTGGTTGTCATGGTTGACTCTCTCTGTTTTCATCTTGAATTCCCTGCTGTTCATTTGTTAAAACATGAGAACTTTGATGTCAATTACAAGAGCATCACAAAGTAGCATTGATAATGGAAATGAGAAATAAGAGTTAAAGAAAAGCATATCTACTTGAAATGAATTTCAAACTTAATCATAATTCTACTCAAGACATACCTTCAAGGAGTTAGAGTCACTATGGGTTGAGATGTCCCTGGAGTCTGTGGTACAGCTTAGTCGATGACAACTCAACAGAAAGTGACCTACAAATTGGAAGTCCATGAGCAACTTTGCATCAGCTGCCATTCTTTGAAACAAATTGAACTTAGAAGCAATTTACCTACTCAAGGTATAATAGACTGATCAACATCCTCTCATTCTCCCAGCTGACTGAAATTGAGCACCTCCAAGAGATTAAAACCTTATGGTCCAATAATATTTAAAGGAAGAATCTTAATTAGTTTAACCATAACACTATGCTCATTGTACTAATTAACAAAAGATTAAAAAATCAGAAAGCCCATGCTTAAATGCTTGAGATTCAGGGAACATACCATAATCATTCTTAGTTTCTCTTGATGACAGTGCCTTTCCAATTGCTTTTTGCTCGTTCAATTAGCATTTGTTAGGTGTTTCAAGGCCAATGGACGGCCTACAAATACAGCAATTAAACCCTATCGAAACCATAACACCTAATAGAACTCCAATCCATGTTTTGGATTCCTGTGGACAAATGAAAACAACCAACAAGCTAGATCATAACCACAGACATCAGTCTAAAAAATTAAAGAAAAACTAAGGCTTTAAATGAACAAAAAATTCAAAAGCTAATTACACTGGCATGTTTTCCATTTCTATCTTCATGGTCTGTATCCCCTTTAGTTGCAGATTCTTCCAAGTTTGAATTCAAAATCTATTATAATTACAAGTCTGCAACTATATATATTAAGAAATGGGAAGTGATGTGTTAGAGGAAGGCACTAAGGAACTAAATAATTAGTGTCAAATAAAAATTATATCTTGTTAAATACAAATCATTTAATTAATCAAAAAAATACTTCTCACCGAAGTATAATATTACAAAAAAGAAAAAGTGAAAAAAAATGAGGTTCACAAAATTTTAAATCAAAAATGCATCAGATCATAGAGATACAGTCAAATTTTGAAAGAAATATTTACGAAGAAGCACAGCTTACCTGAATTGATGTATGGATCTTATAAAAATCCAAAAGGTCTCCACGGTTTTTGAGACGATTGTTGTGCTTGGCTCCTTGCCTTTTCAGCAAGGTGTCACCAACATCACATAAGGTTTTAGAGATTGATTGCTTGCAGGTTAATTTGAAGAACCAAAGGCCTGCAAAATGATTCAGCCTTTATACACAACATACGTTATCTACACATCAGATAAGTAAATCTTATACAGAATGACATAATTGACATTTGACAAGCTTCCAAGCATTCACAATACTTGTCTGAGCAACTTCATTTTTTAAAATTGAATCCTCTTTTATGCCTAGCTCTGAATCTTGTTTTCATCCTGCGCGAGCAAATACAAAACATTAAGAGAAGGTAAAAATGCTTGGAAGGACCAAATTTACAAATGTTAAAAAAATAAGCAACAACGTTCCTCATAGTTAAGTTGGTAGAAGAAAGAAGTGATGCACTAGTAGAATACGACTAATGAGTTCAGTGGTAAAACTTTGATGTTACTCTATACCAATTGCATAATAGGTTTTAATTTGGCAAATAAAATCCAACCTCACAATCAGCATTGAAGTCTGTGGTCTGGGTTGGGCTACCAAGCCATGATGCCAGCCTTTAATTTTCAAATCTTGTTTTACTTTCTATTTTATTAGTTTCTGCAATGAAGCGTCTCAACCCTGTAGCTAGCTCGCACTGGTAATTGCTCACTATCATCATCCTGATGCGGAAAACTACGAATCTAGAATGGTAGTAGAGCATTTGAATGGAGAAATTATTAGTATAACATTTTAAAACTTGAAATTACATATACTGAAAGGGAAAATAAATTATCAAATTAATTTGCTTTTGAATTGTAGGTAACAATGGTAATAGATAATAAATTTGGTTTTAGTTGCTAAGTACTATAAATAAATTGAAAAAATAAAAAAGATTTAGCAGTAGTACCTAAAAGATTGAAAGAAGGTAAATGCATAATTGAAATCAATCAGGAAGACAAGGGAATTAAAGAAAAAAGATTTACTATTTTATATAGTTAAAGGCTGAAGATACCTCAAAGGGAGCTCTTTCCCGTTGGATCCATTCGGAATCTATTTTGATGTTTCGAATGTGAGAGATGCAGTCCCACTCGGAACCACTTCCTCTGGTGCATCTTTCCTTTAACTCAGGGCATCCCTCAATCCAAAGGGTTTCTAATCTGGAGAGGCATCGGATGGCTTTCATATGTTTCAGAGATTTCCAGCTGAAAATCTTCAGAGTTTGAAGAGAGGATAAGTTTCCAAGCCAATTTGGCAAAGCTTCAAGTCCATCAAAATCCCATATTTCGAGAGACTTAAGGGCAGTTAGGTGTTGAATTTGATCCAGCAGACGTTCTCTTGGTTCTCCCCATGCAATCAAAGTCAATTCTTCAAGAGAGGATCCAATGAAGCCCAGATCTGGAAATTTTTGGAGCTTTGTTGAGAAACCACCAATAGTCAGCTTCTTCAAGCGAGCAAGCCAGGCAGGGTTAGGAATGCTCCAACTCCTCCTCAAATCATCTGGAATAGAGATTAGATTATCACAGTTGTAGATATACAATTTCTCAAGAGCAGTGCATGATGGCAACCCAGTTGGCAAACTTCTTAATCCACCACAATTGCTTATCCATAAAGTTTGAAGAGATGAAAGCCCATGGAGGTTCGGAAAGGACATCAAACCATCGCACGAGTTTACAGTCAACTCTTTGAGACACGTGGCAGTAGATAAATCATCTCCTATGCTTTTCAATTTCCCACACCAGCCTATTTGAATTTTTTGAAGAGAGGACAGTCCATGGAGGTTCGGAAAGGACATCAAACCATTGCACCCCATTATAGTCAACTCTTTGAGACACGTGGCAGTAGATAAATCCTCTCCTATGCTTTT